TCAAACGATCATCATGTTTATTTTGTCTTTTCTATACGATCATGGTCCCACTCTTCATTATGTTTCTTCTTCCCTATTTCTTAGGCTTTTCCTTCAAATTCTAAACATTATTACATTTATTTTGTATAAAGAAAGTTTGAAACTTGTGTTTTTGTCATTTGCACTAGGCTGAGTCCTCTTGTGTGGTGCTTCTTCCAATTTCTATTAACTCGTTTAACAGAGTTTCCTCGTTCTTATTATTTTACTCCAATATATTCTTCGCATGTATCATTTTTCTCTATCTTTTTAATTGTCTAGATGAATATGCCCTAATTTACAATTATTTAAACGTCTGGTCTTCTATACCACAATGAATGAAAGCCCCTGTAGCTTCTTCACTCTTTCCTTTCCAAGTTTTTTGAACCAAAATTTTATTCAATAAATATGATCAACGAATGATCAATGACATATTCACTATTAAAGTATTTTGAAATTCCCTAAAATGACACCTGTGCTAAATTATTAAAATTATGACACAAATAATACGTTAATCATCAATTACTTAATTAGAATGCAACGATAATATAAAGGAAGATTTGTATACTATATTTAACAGTAATCATATATTATCATACATTATAAATTTTTATTCAAATTCATACATATAAATTCTTTGTAAACTAGTGAGTGTTGCGAAGTTATTTTCAACCAGTAATATTATATTCAAATATTTATGATATAATTCTATTAAAATAAAACAATCAATTACATGGTTTTGAGGTGTTTCGCATAAAAAAACGATGATATGAAATGATATTAGATGATTTTTTAAGTGTTTTGTTATATATATATATATATATATATATATATATATATATTTTTTTTTTTGGAGAACCAAATGATAAATAGGATATATTACATTACCACGTACAAATATTAAAGCTAAGAAAATGTCATTTTGAGTGACATTGAAACTTAAATTTTGACTTCAATATGGATAAAGATTTTTTTTCCTTGGTTATGTTCTTTCAAATGTTTGTTTATCTTTTTTTTTCTCCAATTTCAAAAATATTTATTTTGTAATCTTTAAAGTGATAATCTTCATAGGAGAATGACAATAAACCATTACAAAATACATTGAGAACAAAGTATAATACTTTTAAATTACGAGGAAAAAAATATGGCAAACTTAAAAAAAAAAATAAAAAAATTCAAGACAGATAAAATAAGAATAATTAATTTAAGTTGTTTCTACTTAAAAGAAGTATATATATTTACATCGTAATTAAATAATTCAGATTTAATTTTGTCATAATATATTTTTTAAAATTTTAAGTAATTCATTATTCCACTCATTTAATTTTTCTATTATTTTTATAAGTTGTGTAATAAAATAACTAATAAAAATTTAAAAGCAATTTAATTATAAGCTACAATTCCTCTAATCAATTTTTTTAAACAATTAATATATTACTAAAATACTTTGATAAACAATTTTCATAAGAAAAGAAAACATTATATTTGAATGATCATAAATAAAAAATATTAAACAGTAGTAATAACATGTGATTATTTGTCATTATCAGCGAGTTCATTCTTGAACAATATTTTGTCCAAAATTTCATAAGATCACTTACATTTATTAGCAGCACTACGATGATATGACCCATAATTTGAGCATTAATGTTTGTTTGTTGGTTTGGGGTTGGAGACTCAACTTCCACCATTTATTATTATATTGGAAGTATGTGCGGTGCGAAAAGGAAAGATCCAAAAAGGAGAGCATGTTTTTCCAAGAGAGGGAGACGAAAGATAAGCCAAGTGGAGTATTGGATGGGAAGTGAAGAAAGTGAAGAAATAGGCAAATGTTTTCTCACTTCTCACCAAAATCTTGTCTCTTTTGTGTACAAATTATTTTGGGTAGGACCACATTTCTTTCTTCTCTCTTCACAACTTTCTTTCAGTCCCCAACCTACACCACTGCACTCATAAACTCCACTACCCCTTCCTTACACCTTTCTACCTCTCCACGCATAATCTCATGCTTAAATGTATGTTTAATTTTATGTCAAAACAATTAAATATGATGTTCATCAAAATCAATGTTATTTAAAATAAATTAACTTTTTAATATGATAGATTGGTGAAGGTGGTTTTATTGAGGAGTGAAAACACAAGACATTATTAGGTTGGATGTTTACTAGACATAGATACTGCAGTATGTTGTGTCAAGATGTGTACGCTAAAGACATTAATGCTCAAGATTTTGGCTTGGATTCGACTTCTATTCAGTCAAACAGGATCTCCCCAACTGATCACACTTGACAATATTTAAGACACTGCATGTGCATGTCATGAATCAACAACACACGTCTTATCTTCCTTCCCGTTTCAAACATCTTTCGTTTTTAACTTATGAATCAATCTTTTCCACAACAACTTTTACTGTTATCAGAACATTATACTTAGTTGTAAGAAAGGTTTTACAATATTTACGAGGATAAAATTATATCTTTATTATTTAACTTCATAATACGAAGGCAACTGCTTAAATTAGAAATAAATTAAGCCATGGATGAATTAGACGATTAACGCTTAAATTTCATATTTTTAGCCAACTTAAATAATGTGAATTTAGTACGTAAATTAAATGGCGAATGACGATATTTTAATATTCAATCGCATTATACATCTTTCGAATTATGAAACTGAATTAAGTAATATAATTGATAAAAATAAATGCATATTCAATACAAAATTAAATATAATCTTAAACTTTATAAATAATAAATAAATTATAATAATTTTTTGTAAATAATGATGAATGGGAGGCATCTTCTGTTTACTTTGATTCAATTTTTTTTTTTACTATTTTTTAGTTTCTTATAATATAGTACTGTACTATTCAGCATCATATCTCAATATTCCCTTTGAATCTCATACCCTAATAACCTACCCTACAAAACAACTGAGAGTTGGGACCATTTCCCGCGAAGTGTGTAACAGCTAAGTCTATACACTGCTGATCAAAATTATAATGTAAGCAACATGTTTACTTTAATAAAAAAAAGACTGTTTAATTTATTTTAGTTTAAAGTATACTTTATTTATGATTATAGAAAAATTACAATGATAAAAATTCATTTAAAAGCTTAACATTATTAATATGTTTCCACCACAGTTGATTGTTTGCTAATTTCACAATATTTGTCCTATAGTTTTAATCAAAAACAGATTTATTTATTGATTGTATTATATTATATATATAGTAATAAAATTATATTAAAAAAATACTATTAACATTAATGCAAATTATATTTAGAGTGAAAAAATGGTAACTCAATTTCATCTGAAGACCAAACTTGTAAAAAAGGTCTGTTTTTTGGTCCAATTTAAAGAAAATAAAATTATGACAATAAATTAAAAAAAAAGATAAAAAATTAATATATAAATTATGATACATAAATAATTTAACAAAAAAATTACCCTTTAAATATAATTATTATTTTAATAAATAATCTGATTAATTAGTTTACGTATAGTCCCAAAGCTTATATAAACTTCCAATTAAATATTAAAAAGAAAATCGATTAAATTAATATTATATATTTTTTCCTATACTAATATTATATTATAAAGTAGAAAAATGGTTCGAGACACCTGTTGCAGTTACTCGACTATGTAACTCTTTCTTCTTGATATTTAAATTTATTTTATGATATAAATACTTTTGATAATATTTGGGATAACTTGTTAAATTAATTTAGGATAAATTTGTAAGTTGTTTAACTATTTTAATGAGTTATTCAAAATAACATAAGTAATTTACAATTACATGAAAATAGTTTAATATAATTTTCTTTTTAGCTATAAAAACAAATTATTACTCACAAATACGTAGCACAAGCCATACCCATTAGGTTCAATTTCTGACTATGACAATACATATGGAGAGAGAAATTGTCCTTTCGTTTACTTTCTTTCACCTTCCCTTCTCTCCTCACATACAAACGAAGCCTTACATAAAAATAGATGGACCCATAAATATTGTTTTAATCTAATTTCTCAAGATATGCATGGAAAAAGGGATCGTTGTATCAATGTCAAATTTATCCTTGCAATAATAAAAATGCCAAGGAAATTAAACTACTTTACCAAAACCAAACAACTAAATATTTAACTCAATCAACCCACCACTAAAAAAAAATATCATTTTGTTTTTCATTTTTTAAAAATTGTGTTTTTAAAATTTTACTTGTGGTACTACATTTTTCTCTTTCGTAATTTCATACCAATCTAAATCCAAAGAAAGCCCAAGACAAATAGGAAACCCATACCAAATTGATCACAATAGAGAAGATAAACTGAGCTTTCTATTTGCACTCCTTCTTAACACTTCATACTAACTATTTTGAAATTTCGGAAGCTTAAATCCTCTTTGTCCAATGAATGTGTATTTGTGAGTAAACACTAATATAATAATAATGTTTATAGGAAAATGTTTGAAAACTAGGTGTAAATGGTTATAGACACTGCAAAAATCTCAAATTAACGCATATATTGAGACAAATAAAGTATGTACATGAAGATACAATCATACAACCATCCAAGATCTAAAACTGTTACATATAAGATATTTATAGTAAGATTTATCAATAAATTTTAATATATGTTATTCTCATAATTGTAGTTATAAATTTTATAGTAAAATGGTTTAAGGTTAGAAAAATAATGAATCAAATTATAATTAAAATTTCATAGGAATCAAAATCACACATTCCCCCCAAACTATAAGAACTAAAAGTGGATTTAAGCAATTTTGAAAAAGTTAGCGGGGGGTTAATAGCAATAGAGGGTGCTAATAGCAATCCCATTATTAGGCCCAACATTGAACCCAGTTCATTCATTGAGTCCAACATTCGAGTTCTCTCATAACGGGCTTACATATTTCAAATCAAAACCCGCTCCCAACCCGATAACTGCGGAGAAGCTTGGAGTCGAAGACAATAGAGTAAGCAAGAATGGGCTCCGTGGCAGTGGCGATGGCGTCAATGTTGTTCGCCGGTGGCTGCCGAAGCTTTGCAGTGCCTGCGGCGGCGTCCGCCCTTCGCATCTCTCGAGTAGCACTTAGAAATCACCACAACAAGCACGCTCCGAGTTGGTGCTGTCGGAGTGCACATAACAGTTACACTGCATTCGCTACTGAATCCGAATTCTCAGCAACCGACGCCAAAAACTTAACCGCAACCTCTTCTTCCGATAGGTACCTTAACATTCACAAGAATTCGCGTTGATTCTCCAAATAGTTACTTCCTCTCCACTACCTTCGCCTTTTGCTTGATACTGAGCTTGCTTCTGTTTAAGTTTCCCGAAGTATGATCGGTTGCTTCCATGTCCATTGCACAAAACTCCACCGAGAGTTGAACATTTAGTGGTATCAGAAGGAGGACCGGTTTTAGAACATATTTGCAAGGCCCTGGAACTTCCTCCTTTGTAAGCGTGTTTTTCTATACCTCTGCATATCATACGATTAAATATTTCTCATATTTTCTTCACGCAAAAAAATATTAAATGCTATGCTTCATTTTTGTGAAGGTACGTTACAGATCTGATTCAATTTGGAGCTGTATACTACGCTCTTGTTTGTCCACAGCCTCCTCCGGGTGCTACTGAAGAGCAAATTAGGGTATTCAAAGAAGTAACGGATCCTTCGGTATTGCGCCAAAGAGCTTCTATCCAAGGCAAAACTGTGCGGGAGGCACAGAAAACTTTCCGTGTGACTCACGTGGATCAATTTGTTGAGCCAGGAACGTATTTGCGAGTCCATGTACACCCCAAACGCTTTCCTAGGTACAATGTGTTTTGTGTGAATGAAATTACATTTTAGATTTTGGAGGGAAGATGTTGTTTGACATTTTAAAGCCTTTTTTAGGTGTTATGAGATTGACTGGAGATCAAGGATCATAGCTGTGGCGGAATCCTATGTTGTTTTGGATAAACCTGCTGGTACATCAGTATGTAATCAATTCCACAGTACAAACTTAAACTTTATTAATTCTCGTATATGTTGCGCCGTAGAATTGTTTCTGTAATTTGTTATGCTAGATAGTGCAGAGTTCTGTAAATTTATACCCAACGGTCATGTGTTCTACATCGAGTGAGTGAAATTTGATATTTAGATCAGGCTAAGGGTTATCTACTGGATTTTTGTACTCATTGTCTGTGTCAGTCCTTAGCTTTCACTGTTTGCTCTACTTTTTTGGTTTTACCAATATCTCAGATTCAGCATTCTATAATCGTAATTCGTTGGCGTCAAACATTAAGATTGGCTAAACTAGTTGAATATGTTGGTTGTAGGACACAGATGGTATCAGAAGTTAGTAGGTTGAAATTGGAAAAATAAGTTTTCAAATGTGATTTATGGTTTGAGGGATATTTAGTAGCAAAGAACAAAGGATAAAAATGTGTTTAACGCATGTTTAGTTTAACGTCTCAAATCCGCATCTGCAGGTAATTGTGCAATGATGTGATAGAAGCAACTATAACATGCTTTTAAATTGACGTTTCTTAGGGGCTTCTAACACCCAACCAAACACTTGGTAAGTCGGAGGTCTCTTTATATTGCCAAGGGAAGAGTAGTACCCGAGTCTTGACTCCTTAGAAAATATAGTTTCAGGATTGATTGATTGGTTCTGGGGAAACTCAAGCCAGGAGGAGTTATATTTTTGAGGGAAGGATGTTTAGTGTTTGGTGTTAAATCCATTAGGTTTGTGTTGGATAATTTTAGTAAATAGCATGGAAGTTAAGAAGAAAATTAATTTAACTTTTACACGTAAGATTCCTTAGTTATCAATTATAATCCAATCAAAAGAATAGATATTCCTTGAATAACTCATATACTGAACATTGTATCTGAACCACTGTTTAAATATATTTCCTATAACTTATGAATTAACTCCTATGAGGATTTATGCTTTATAAACTACACTTTAGCATAAAAAGAAAATTGTAAGCACCCATCTAATGTAACTCCACGGCCATAAAGACCTGGTTTCTCCAAAAAATATAAGTGCTGCATAATTTCTGAAGTACCATTAAATTAATATAAAAACACCGTGACAGTTCCTAGTTAGGTAAGAATTAAAGGTCATTTCTGTCTTTCTAGAGTAAGATTTAAATTGTCTTTTCTAATTCTTAGCTTCCCAATTTCACCATCTTTGCGTAGGCTTTAAGGTCCATTCACTTTCATCAAGGAGCAATGGTATTATGAAACAGTGTAAAATATAGATACAACAATTTCAAGAATCTATAGATTTTGATTGATTAGGTTTGTTGCTCAATATGTGGAGAAAAATATCAAGCAGGATTCACTATTCAAGGGCAGCTTTAGGGTGGAGTATGTTTACTTTAGTTAGGTTCTATGGTAGTCTTGAATGGGTTATTCCTTAATTTACTAGCATAGAGACTCAACTCAATAACTCAATTCTATTTTTAACGTGTCCTTAAATTTATTGATATGTTTACATGATTAAATAATTAATTGCTTAGGATTTCTTTGCAATTTTTTTCTTTAAATCTTGGTTAGGTAGGTGGTACTACTGACAACATTGAAGAAAGTTGTGCAACCTTTGCAACTCGTGCCTTGAGAATGACAGCCCCTTTGATGACTACCCATCAAATTGATAATTGCACTGAAGGCTGGTATTGCTTTTATGTTAAAAATAATTACTACTCTTGTCATTCTGACTGTCATAGATTATAATGGAATGTCATTACTTGCAGTGTGGTATTGGCTAGGACCAAAGAGTATTGCTCTGTATTTCACGGCAAAATCAGGGTATGTCTACGATGCCATAACTTAACATAGATTAACCTTCTACTACTTGAAAAGGCACACTCCTATAAGGCATACACTATTTACTCTTCGTTGTGAAATGGGGTTCTACAGCATGATATAGTGCCTTTTTAGTCAATTGAAAATATAAATTGTTTGTATCTGGAATTGCATTGTTTGTATGTTACTGAATACTTTGTGCAATCAAATTTTTTCAGGAGAAGAAGGTGAAGAAACTCTATCTGGCTCTTGCATCTTCTCCTTTGCCGACGGGAATAATTACCCACTATATGCGCCCTATTAACATGGCTCCTAGACTTATTTCTGAAGGTAAACCGTATTAGTTGGATTGATTAGTAATAGAAGTAGCTAGAAGGTGATATTTATGTATGCTTTCATTGACTATCTTCAGCAGCATGCAGAAAAAGCCAGGACAATGCCTCATCATGGTAATATGGCTGTAAGCTTAACTTTAGACATTAGATTTGGCTGATAGTCAATATTCCATTTCCTGAAAAGGAATAATAAAAGGTAGAACGATGCTCTTGAGAATAATGTATTCGTTTTAAACTACTTGATGGAAATTGAAATGTCATTTACTTTTCAATAAAATACTTGGAGTATAATTTGAATGGTTTAGCCTAGCCTAGTGTACTGCAACAGCATGATGTGTTATAATTTGACTGAGGCATATCTATCAAATATGTGTTTGCTATGTAACTTGGGTAAAAAGTTTCCAGAAAGGGTCGTGTATTGTGGATTCAACCCAGTTGGTTAATTTGGGTGCAGATTTTATCAAGGGATGGCCTATTTGTCAACTTGAGATCCAGGAATGCAGAAAGATTCCCTGGCCAACTACTGCTATACAGGACAAGTATTGTGTTGAAGACTGTGGGTGGCCTTCTCAAGATTTTGCATACGAATGCAAAATCAACCTTCTTACTGGTCGAACACATCAGGTCTGTTAGCCAGCATTTTATGTACTGTTTTTATTTTTAGTGAAGGGTAGTATTGTAATATGAATGTGTTGGCACATTAGAATAAATAAATGTTTATCAGTTAAAACAATTAATGAAGATATAGTTGAATGATATTCCCAATCGTCAAATAAACTGATAGGGAGTTCACGATATACTTCATTCTACATTTATTTTTCTTTTCATATGCTTTCATGACGTGAAGACCGTTGAACACTGCCATTGTTAGTTAAACAATGATTCAGCTACCACAAATGACAAATGTTAGCTATAAAGTATATGACTCTTGCCATTTGTTGGGTCTAATATCATCTCAGAATACACTTTTAGCAAGTTAATTTGAGAATGTCTCCCCACTTTATTTGGTTGGTTAGATCTCCCAGAATCTGGTATCAACCACTTAAATGTTGGATTCTTTTATAAGAATGGTGAACCAGCTGGTGGCCATTTGGAAGTGTTTTAAAGGTTATGATATATTAAACAAATTTTTTGGATAAACATTTCTTTAAGTATTTATTGGTAAAGAAAATAAGTTCTTTCAATAATATGTATAAGTAAATTTTAACTTATAGGGGAAGTTTATTTCTGTTTTTTTCCTTCTTTTATAAGTGTTCATAGAGAAACCTAACTTTGTTATTTCTTTTATTTGATTGTCTTTAAGGAAAAGGAAAGTTTATTTTGTACCTGAATAGTAACTTAAATGTGAATGCAGATTCGAGCTCAGTTTGCTGCCTGTAGAGCACCGTTAATTGGTGATTCTATGTATATGCCAGCTGTAATTGCGGATATGAGTAATCCTGGACTTAATCCATTTGGCAAATACAAGAGAGATTTCAGTAGTGAGAGTGAAAAAGAAACGGCTGTTGTAAATTGGATTGCACAACATGGAAAAGAGCCAAGTGTTGCAATTGGCCTTCAAGCATGTCAAATTTCATGGGATGATGATGAACACTTTTACAAAGCTGGTTCACCTTGGTGGAGGTGTTAAAATGCTTGAAATGTGTGCTAGAGTTGAGGATAGGGATTTACCTTTATAGTTATGTTTTCATCTTGCCTTAGTTTTAAGTGAGTATACTATCATTCTAATTGAAAACATCCTAATTCAGTGTTACAACTGATTTGTTTTCCTGAAAAATAAAGAAATGTTTTTATACGCAGAAGCAGATATTCAAAAGGTGGAAGAGCGGTCACGAACCACTCTATGCTGGTTTCTGTTTATGTGGGGTAGGAGTGCAATATTTCCTAGAGGTTGTAGAGGGAAGGCAATCTGATTTGCAGCTTTGAAAAGAGAAATCCGAATACAAGGAAAAAAGAAGAGGACTTAATACAGGGTTTTAAATTGAGTATGCTGTCATGTACTGGTGAGCATTATTGCACCTTTTCTAGCACAGTCAAGTCTGAACAGGTAAACCAGAGGACAAGAAATTCACGGATGAAGAAGTCTTTTTTGGGACGAGAGTTTAGCTTATTCATTTTACTTGGAGATTGGAGAAGTGAGGCAATGTCACAATTTATAAGTAACATCTGATTAGCCCGTGTATTAATGCCTTAAGCCGCGTCAACCTAATAGCTGTTCGTATTATTGTATTCGGCCAATCTCTGTAGCGTTTTGGGCCAGGATGCCAATCGATTGCTTGTACTAACTTGCTAGTGATTTTGAAGTTCTCTTCAAATTATTTCAATCAACACCATCGATGTGTTAACCTATATTTAAATTTGTACAAGAAACATACAATGCTCGTCAATTATTGTTTATCAATGATTTTAGGTTGCACTAGTGAAACAAGTCACACATAATTACCCATTGTGCGGTATTTCCTATTACTTTGTCCAATGGTGGTCCTTCACTGTTTTTCACTCTAAGGTAGACCTTGATGTTCCATTTGACATATATTTATAGAAACACGTCCTTTCTCTTGTTCAATGTTGTTGTGATCATCAACATCATCTCCCCTTCTTATAGGGTAGGAAGGATTCATTAAATACCTAAAGTTTCCTCAATTGTTAATGTTTTTCTATTGTAAAATCTAACGTGTTTTACTAGATGGTGAATAGGCGAATAATTTAGTTTCATATAATTTTTCATCAACGTTTTCAAGACTATCATTATCGTTATTCAAAATAAAACATTCGCATTCAAAGGTACGTGAATTTGGCATGTTAATCTTTCATCCTTTAAACCCGTAGATATGATGAGGATCTTATTCTTGACATAATAAGTGGTATTTATTGCATCAACCACAAACTATTAGGTAGATAATTTTCATTTAACATTATTCTAACTAACTCTTGGAACATATTTTTTGTTTCCATTATTCTATATTGTTGTGGGTTCAAAGTGTCATTGTTTTCAAATCTTCCCGTGATCACTTCTTATGGATGCTTTTTAAAAAATCTTCCAATGTTGATTGGTTTTGAAAATTTTCTCAAAATTCATAAATGCTTAAGAGATTACGAGAGTCCATGTGAACTTTGACTTGTAATCAACAATACATAATAATTAAAAATTTCTGCAATGCATCAACGAGAGGTTAAATTCTAGTTAAAATTGTTGTTTTTAGCATTATTATTCGGTGTTTCCCATGTTTCTGATTTGAGAAAAGGTGTTATTATAAAATTTTGAACAAACAACATATTCTACAAGGAAATGAAGAACGAAAGGGAGAAAACAGAAAAGGCACACGTGAGCAACACTGCAAAGAGAATGGGAAGATAAGCATGTGCTTGTTTATTAGGAAGAATTCAGATAATCAAAGTCCTGTATGATAGGATAAGTGTACATTTAATACGATATGCAAATAAAACTTTTTTGGTACTGAGCAAAAAATACTGAGCAGAAGTGAATGAACTAGTTTGTTAAAAAAATAACGTAAGTATTAGAAGATAGAAAATGATAGACTTAAAAGAAAGTCAAGAAGAAGAAATATGCAGAGAAAAAGATTAAAAAAAAGAGGTGTGCTATTTCATTCATATAGCAGGTGATTTTTTTTTTAGACAAATTCTGATTTTATAATTGTTTCTAATGTCTTTTTAACGTTAAATCCTTATATAAGAAAACAAATCAAGTCAAATTCTTAAAAAGAAAAAATTAATTAAATTTAATGAATACAAATACGAATATACTGTTTTTTAAAATTTTATGTATTGTTCTTCTAACATTCATAAAATAAAACTCATATATTATAACTATTATTATTATTATTTTTATTTTCTTTCTAAAGTTTAACCATCCAAAAAGAACGGATTAACAAATTTATTTTAGTAAGGACATTTATTTTATTTTACACATTTTCACTTTCTATTTGACTAGAAAAAAAAAAGGTTTTATTTTCCTCTCCTACCAAAACAACTTATACAAATTAACTCACTCTATTCTTATTTTATTCTTTTTAACAATACGTTCACTGGGAAAGAAAACACGCACAGGGTAAAAAACAATAACGAAGAATAAATGAGAAAAACTATTTCCAGTAGTGGATGAGTACATATATTGGGCCCCAAAAATCTAAAGAAAACAGCAATAATATAAAAAGGCTTTAACTTCTTTTATTCCATTAGTTTATTGGTAAAAAAAAAAAAAACGAAATGAGTGGGAGCTAAGGTAACCCAGGAAATTAATAGGATGAAGCAAGAAATATCTGAATATAAAACCTAAGAAGGAATTATACGTAAACTCCTTCATCCATGTGAGCATTTGGGCTTCCGTTTCACTGGCCCATTAACATTACCACTAAGGGAAAATATCTCTTTCTTTTACTCTATTGCGTTTATTTATTTATTTATTGTGTTAGTATTTCAGGTAATATAAAATTATTATTGTTATTAGACAAATTTATGATAAATTGTTTTAAATTTGAGATAATAAACAAAAAGATATCATAGTTATAAAAAAATACATATAATTTAAATAAGACTTTTAACTCTGAATTTGGATAGATTTTGTCAAAATGTAATAAGCCATTGCAATAGTCATTCTTGAAGACGTCTACAACTTTTTCTATCCCACAAATGTTTGAGAACATTCATACTTGTATTCATGCCATTATTTTGAATCAAATATGATTTTTGTTGTAAAAAAGAAAAAAGAAAAACCATAACAGTCTCTAAGCAAATTCCTCACTGTGTGATTCCCTATGCTTTGCTCGGACGTACCGGAACACTTTGTTCATTCCTGAAAAAGTTATCGGGATCCACCTTGGTCTTAATGTTTACGAGCCTATCAAAATTGTGATTGAAGTACTTGGTCCCGTAAACCACTCCTTCTTGGAAGCTATTATTACCAAAGTTGTTAACCCCGATATCAAGGTCTCTGTAAGCCAAAAAAGCACTTCTGGGATTCTTAGACACAAAAGGGGTCATGTAAGTGTACAGACTCCTAGTCTTATTTATGAAATTCTGAGCTGCACCAGGTGATGGATCGTGCCAGGTCACAGAATGCTGAACCTTGAAGAGGTTCCCCTTACGGTGAGGGAACGGCGTTGCATTGGAAGGAACCTCTCCCATTTTCCCTCCATAAGGGTTGAAAACAAATCCAATGTTTCCCAACTCAATCATGGTCTTAAATATCCCCTCCAACTCAGCTTTTGAAATGGCTTTCTGAACATAATCAGATTTTCTTTTGAGAAAATCAGCAGAGTTTAGATTTCGATTCAGTAGGGTCTCAGGCTTGTCACCATTTTTCAAACTCTGATCATCGTCCCACCACAGAACAGAATCAATCCAACTCACCTCAATACAACTCTCCTTCTTCAATCCAAGAAGCGGAAACTCCTTCCCCAAAATCGACACAACCTCATCTGCCCTTCCGAGGAACAAAGCCACAACCGAGGCTCTAATGGTTTTGCCTCCCTTCACAACATCGGAACTCACTGGCTGTATCAAGAGCCTCATAAAAAGCCTGTCATCAGTGGTTGGCGCCACCTGCTGCCACTGCACCACAAGGTCAGTGGCAGTTACATTCGTTTCCAAAGTCTTCTGAACGCGGAAAACGGTAACTGTTTCAGGCACCGGAACTAGCTTTATAGTAAACGATATTATCACACCAAAACTCGCTCCTCCACCTCCTCTAATAGCCCAAAATAGATCCTCCCCCATGGATTTTCTGTTTAGAAGATTTCCTTTGACATCCACAATTTGAGCGTCAATAACATTGTCAACGGATAAGCCATATTTTCTTAACATATTACCGTACCCTCCTGAACTTATATGGCCACCGACGCCAACAGTGGGACACACCCCTGCGGGGAAGCCATGAACTTTACTCTTCTCCCAGATCCTATAATAAACCTCTCCCAACGTGGCACCGGCTTGGACCACCGCAACCTCGTTTTTTATGTCCACTGTGACTGTGCGAAGATTGAACATGTCGAGGATGATAAAGGGTTCCCCGGAGACGTAGGAGACACCCTCATAATCGTGGCCTCCACTCCTGATTTTGAGTATAATGTTGGCAGTTTTGGCGCATATTACAGCCCCCTGGACGTGCGATTCTTGAAGGGGAGTGACGATGAGTAACGGCTTTCGTGTTTGGGAATTCTTGAATCGTGCGTTTCGGATGTAGTTTTGGAGGACGGTGGGGAAGGAGGGGTTGGTTTGGGTGAAGACTATGTTGGAGAGTTGAGTTGAAGAATTTGTGTGTTGTGTGAGGCAGCGAAGGAAAGTATCATAGAGTGAGGGGTTTGAAGGTGGTGCTGCCAATGAAGTGGAGACTGTTAGAAGAAGAAACACAACGGATAGATAAACCAAACCATGTTTTGCCATTGGGGTTTTAGGGTTGCTGACTTGGTCATGACGGAGGGTTTGTGGAGTTTCATTTATACATAAGGATAAACATTTGGCGGTCAAAGACTATATAATCATTTATTATTCATAACTCTTGAAATTAGAAGATAATAAATCCTGGTCAAAATTCTCATGGAAGCTAATGATAAAAAAACAAATATATATATTTTATTCTTTCCTTTTAACAAATATTTTCCAATTTTTCTCTCTCCGTAATTTATTATCAATCATTACATAATATTTTAAGTGAATAATTGATTCTGCTACTGTATTTAATAAATAATAAATAATTGTGTTGATATGTGTACTTGTGTTAGAAACAATTTATATGATGAGTAATAAAGCATAAAATAAAATTATGTTCATTTTTTATTTGTAAAATTACATGTTATAGATAGATTAAAATAGAAAAAGATTTGTTTTACATTCAATATTTTTTTAACATTCAATAAATAATTTTTAAATAATATTTTTTTCTTTAATTGATAGAAAGAAAATGAAATAAGATAATAAATAATAATATAACAATTTAAAAGTGATTATTGAATATATATTTAACAAGGAATGGTTGTATATGTATCACGACTCAATTAAAATTTAGAAAATATAACAGATATGAATACGATCGGACAAAATAGTATGTATCTTAAGAAAATATGAAAGAAATCATAATATTGAAATCCACTATATCAAAATTATACAACTGTCGAAAATTGTGGAACGCTATTATATCAATGCAAATAAACAATTTCATAAAAGTATTTTTGAGAAAGTAATATAAAGAAATTCCTCTAAATAAAATACGAGTAAATGATATAAAATCATATCATATATTTTTTATTTAAAATATTAAAACATTAAATTATAGGAAATATAAGTGAATTGGAATATCAAACCACTATAAATTTAAAATCATAAAATATTATATTATAGTTATTCAATTTTTATTTATTCACTTTACAGTTAAATTCTGATGAACCAAAAGGGTCCCATCGTAGAGGTTGAGAAAAAGAGAAAAGGTTTACTCCGATGAAATCCCAACCACTATTCAGTTTTTCCAGGTGATATGTATCACCAGCATAGAGAATTTTGACATCACAAAATATAATAAAGGCTTACCAATTAATATAGATATGTATTAAATGTCTAACCATTATTAATTAATTTTAGCACAACATTTAAATATGTTTTGTACACGTCTCACTTTTATTTTGTTTCCTTGTAAATATATTATTTTAATTTTTAAATATAGTATTTTTAGTTCCTATAAATATTTTAATTTTTTTTTGTCTGAATAAGTCCTCACAAAATAATAATCATTTTAATCTAGTAGATCTCACACGTTATAATATTAGCAATGCTAATTTGTCAATTTTAATGATGTCAAACAAGATTTATATTATATGAGTAAATAAATAATATATATATATATATATTAAATAAAATAAGTGATTTAGTATACAATTTTTTTTAACTTTATTTTTGTTTTATCAACTATTTTTTGTTTAACTTCAATAATAAAAGATAATTAAAATAAGTTGGACTAGTGTTTTTTTTTTGTACTGAATAAGCTTTGGCCCAAATATTCGAGATGTACAAGAAAATACAAGAAAATTAAATGCACGCGAATAGAGCCCATATCATTCTTAGTGGCAGCACATGGGTTTTGGCCCACAATTTAACGAAAAATTTAGGCACTTTCTTTCCGTCCCATTCTTTCTATCTGTACGTTCATATCCAAGTAAAATAATTAAAATATCCATTTAATAGTTTTTTTTTCAAATTCTAAACATTTTTTCTTCAAAATTTAATTTCATATATATAGATTTGGTTTATTGTGTATCATCCCCTTCACTTTAATATTTAAAAGTCAACAATAATTAATATCATATATTTATTACACGTTTTTACATTAAAATTGTACATCTAGATTATTAGACGGGAACATATTTTTTTTTTATTTTCTGAAATTGTATTTCCAATTCCCATAAATATATTCTCAATCTCTATAACATGTTTTCAACTTAAAATCTTATTGTGTGAATATTATGTAATAAAAAATTGATACAAATAAAAAATATTTTAAAATTTGTATCTATTTTTTATTATTCTTAGAATAACAGGAGAATGAAGAATGAATATGTTTTAATAAAATTTTAAAATCAAATATTCAAAATGTAAAAATAAAAAATAAATCCTTAGAAAGATGAAAATAAGTGTAATAATAATAATATAAACTTTAATTTAATTACGGAGGTATAGAAAAAACTATGAAAATGAACGAAGAAAGTACCAAAGTTTATTGAATTGTATCTTTTTAAGTTATATTATAATATTTTTGAGATTTACATATTAATTTTTCCAAGAGAAGATTTATTAAGATTCATAATAAAAATAGTTATAAATAATAATAATAATAATAATAATAATATTATTATTATTATTATTATTATTATTATTATTAAAAAAGAAAGTGGGTTAACTCGCTCTAACAAGCCAATAATCCACCAACTTATTAGGTCAAGCAGAATAAGCTATTAATCACAATAAATTGAATTTTCCTAATTCTTTACGCCGTGGCCTATATTCAATTCTTATTAATAAATATATTTGGTTCACAAATTTTAGTCGTAATGATTAGTCAGTGTTACAATACAACACAATAAAATAGGATAATATTGCATTTAACTAAGAATATATATGAAAAATAAAACTTGACAAAGGTAAAACATCTAACATTTTTAAAGAAAATTGAAAAGTTAAAAATATGAAAAACTAAATATACGTACACCATGAATGTAATACGTAAAGAGATTTTTTAAAAGCTTTAAAAAGGTTTATATAACATATTTAATTCTTCGTATAAGATATAGATATTAGTTTAATATCATTATACTATTTCTTATATTTTTTAATATTATATTTTGTTACTCATTTAAATTTTAATTAAATACACATTTTGAAGAATATAATATATTAAATATAATTTAAACTATTAAACGTATATCATAAGTAAAATTTTAATAATATTATAAATTATCTTTTCATTTATCATAATTTACATTTTTATTATTTATAAAATTATTTTATTAGTTTTTAAATATATAACATAATTCCGTGAATTACAATAGTAGTCATAATAATGATCTAAGTGAAAAGTGATCTAATCCAACAAGTAAAATCAGGTGACTCAATATATCAAACCAATTATATATTACTGCTCTACATCACTTTACAATGATTTTTTTGGAGAATTTTTTCATATGCTTTCAGCCTCAAGATGTAATTACTGCCCAGTGCACTCCATTCTTCTAAATCTCATTCACACAAATCAAAACATGATTACAAATGCTGTAGTTGTGGCCCAAAAGAAAGGAACTTCAATTCCTATTAACAGCAACTTCAATCTATTCCTCATCAGTCACACTTTAAGCTCCAGCCATGAGTCATTCATTGTTCCCCTTTGTTACATAACAGCTTCAAAAGTACAACCTTACTGTTTAGCCTGTTCACAGGATCAATGGAAACCTGTCAGTTGCTTCTATATATATGACAATGTCTGATGTATCACTAATTGAGTATAGAAATTCATAGACAAAAGCAAACAAACAACAATAATATCAGCAGACAGAGCAAGTTCCCTTTTATGATTCCCAGTATAAAAGACAAACTCAGTTTAAAAGGAGAGGATAATGCACCTGTGAATAGAGGAAGGTGCCAAGAATTGCAATGGCAGCACCAAGAGCATTGATGGGCTGAACAGGCGTGTGGAAGATAAGAATAGAAGAGACAATGACCGAAATCCTCTTCATTGTGTTTCCGATGCTAAATGTTAAGGGAGAAATCTGATCGAGAGACATGTAAGAGACTTGATTGTACAAGTGGTAGAAGACACTCTGAGCAACTACCCACCTGAAAACATAAAAATTCACTAGTTAAAAAACATTTGACGAAGAGAATCATGAAATTAAAGGCAGGGCAATAAGAAATTTTGTTGAACTGATTGAAAAAAATCATAGCTAAGAATTACAAATAAAACACCTTCAATTGAAGACTCATGATGTGCTTACCAAACAAAATTGGGACCAATCTGAGACACAGCTGATTGCCATCCTGCGGCCCAAACCTTGGGGCCCTCCACAGCAATGGCAAATGGTGTGAGTATCAACAGAGACATTATGGAAAGGCAGGCATAGTAGTTCATTCCACTAACAGACATTCCCTTCATTCCTTTCTTTGAGAATATATTCCTGAAGACAAATGCCAAATTTGATATCATAGCCCCCATGAAACCTGAAACAATCAAATTTGTTATTTAGAGTATTGAACTAAGAAAAATTCTGCATCCCATTAAAACTGTCTACTGAATAAGAAAGTCAGAAATTTGTTTTTCAGTAAGTAGGCTTACCAATCATATTGAAATTGAGCTCAGTCACAGCAGCTAGTGCACAACCACCAATAATTGGCACCAGTGACAGATAGACCGGCATTGGGAATGCTTCTCCAAGCAAGAAACTTGACACTAGGACACTGAAAGCAGGCTCTCCACTCTTGATGATGTGAGTGAAAGAAACAGCAACCTTGGACATGCTCACAGTTGCAGCAACATGCCCAATTGTGTGTGCCACCGCAACCTGCACAAAGAAATTTGAAATTCTTTGAGTGAGTACTACTTAACCAACCTTTCACTACTTGAAACTCACTCACACGATCACGCCATTTGACCACAAAGAAAGCATTACTTTATTGAATTCTCTCCAGTATTTTTCCAATTTCTATGCCAAGATTTTTAACCTTTCCAAATTTAGGTATTCATGACGGTGAAGGTTTTCAAACCGCAAACGTATAGAGAAATTATTATATGGTCCAGATTCATTATATGTCTATGATCTTGACAAATTTTCATGTGATATATAGTCATGTTTTTCAATATACAATAAAACTTTTCACAAAGAGATTACCAATCACATCATGACCATTTCTGTGCCCACATAACTTCGTTTGCATGCAACCAGCAATGGAAACGACAAAAATGCAAAAATAGATAGAAAAAAAAAAGGATTTCTTACAGGAAACAAGGCCTTCCAGAAGTCCAAGTTAACTTTTGGGACCTCAGCAACTCTGGTGGCCCAGGAGATTAACATCATGAGGGAGCCAGCAGCAAGGGACAAAGTGGAGGTGAGCCAGGGGTAAGGAAAAGCATTCAAAACCTTCTTGTTGTAGATGTTGAACACCACATTCAAAGCCCACCAGGTGGCAAAATACACCCCAATCTTCACCCTCTGAGCAGCATCTTCATCCGGCAGCGCAATGTTAATCTCTATTGGGCGTGACCTGTCAGCCTCATAGGCCTGGCACTCCGTCACCCTCTTTCTCTTAACCAATGCCAAGTTCTCAGAGGATGAAAGGTAGAGAAGTTTCTGGGAGCTCAACTGAGAGGGGGCCGTGTTTTGTTCAACGTTGGCAATGGTTGAAAATGTGAGAAGTTGAGGCTTTGCAAGGGGAAGTTTTCTGGTTGAGAAAGCAGAACCAGTGAGAGATGATGTTGAGCATTTCATTAAAGAGATCATGGTGGCTGCTTGAGTTTTCTGAATGTGGGAGAAAAAGAGAGAGGGTAGTACTATAAATGGTGAAGAGATTAAGGATTGTTGCGAGGAAGAGAGAGGGGTTGGTGAGAAAATGGTAGAGCGGGAAACGGTTTTTCCTATGTGAGGAAGAGATGTCAGAGTTGGACATTTATATAGGACAAGGATGTCATGGTCCGTAACAAGTTTACAACTAACCGCTTAGATTTTCATTGATAAAAACAAAATCTTTCAGAGAATTTTCATTTTCGTTGTAAGATTTTTTAATTTTAATATCGTGTTGGGTTTTCGTCTTTACTATACCCACTAGAGGTTTTTAGTTTTTATTTTTTTATAGTAATGAAATTTCTTCATTTTTAAATTTAGTTTTTGTGTTATTCTTTTTATTTTAAACCCCCAACATATTTTTCTTATTTTTAAAATTTCGCCTGGTAATGTTGGGAAAAGGCTACAATTTGTTTTCAAATTTATGGAAATACGATTTTTATTTTTTTAATTTTCAGATTTGGATAACATTTCATTGTAAAGAAATCGTGTTTTTAAAAAATGATTTTTATTTTTTATATCAAAATTGTGTTACTAAATCCTTTTTTTTTCATACGAGAAAGATGTCGTGTTGCGAAACAATATTTTAGTATTATTTATTTATTTATTTTAAATTGGAAGTTGAAATTATGTTTAGTAATATATATATATATATATATATATATATAGAGAGAGAGAGAGAGAGAGAGAGAGAGAGATTTTAGATTGAAATTTGCGATAGATAACACGATTTCATGTTAGTTTTTTTTTTAATTTTAAATGGAAATGGTGTTTTGTATTAATTTAAAGATTTAAGTTTTTATTTCATAAGTTAATATTATAAATATAAATAAATTTAATAATTTCTATTAGTTTTAAAATATGAAAGTGTGTTAAATACAAAGTATATGAGTAATATTTAACGCTATAATAATATATTAAAAAAATACACCTTAATGGATAGTTACTATAAATATGATTTTAATTTTGGTAAAAATGAACAATTTTTTTTCTTTAAAACTGACTCGTCCATTTCATAATAAATACAAGGGATGATTCACGGTCGTAAATGTTTCTGACGCATATTTAGATTAGAAATAAAATTTAAATCTGCATAAACAAACTAAATTTGGACTAACCTAAAATTTAAACAACAAATACCAAAGCACGGGTTTTTAACCCGAAAAAGGAAAAAACAAAAGCGTGTTACATTTTTCTTTCTATGTATAAAATGATAAATTATTTTAAAAAATACAAATTCCTTAATGAAACAACGTTTATTCAAATCTGAATTTTAAACACAAACAGCATCGTATCGGTGCGGACCTACACAGGTGTGGTCTCTCCAAGCATGATTAGAACAAGTGAACAAGTACAACAATAATTGTGCTCTCAACTTTTAGCTTCCGCTCATTGTGAACCGCTAATTCCATTACAACTGCTTCACGGCCTCGAAATCTCTGCCTAAACGACAACCATCACGAGTTCATCGATTCAGGGCTGAGAACAAAAATCTTAGAAATCTCGCGGAGAAAGACACACACACCTCTTCCTGGTGGTGTTCCTTTGGTCACATGATGATGCTGAATACCAATGTTTTGGTAGCTGCAAATATTTCTCGTGTCATAATTTGTAGTTTGATTTTTGGAGTGTGCATGATTGGGTAGATTTTTTTGGGATTTTTGAATTCATTATTGACGGCTGGTATGAGGCTAGACTTGTATTAATTGGAGTGCGTACATATGTTTCATGGGTTTGGTCCGGTCCATTGTGATTGAAAGGAACATGCTTTCATGTCTCTATTCTAATCACAGACAGCTCCTGCATTTTGGAATTAAGCTGGAAGGGAAAATTGAATTCTCACCGTTCAAAACCAATGCGAAAGAATCACATTTACCAACCCTTCTTTTCTCGTTTTGCTTTAAGTTTGTCGTCCTGTGAACAACGTTGCTCATATAAATAACAATTATTATTTTATTTTAAAATTCTAATCCTAGATTCTTTATGGGGGCATTTTGGAGATTATATCTTTCCCAACTTAGGGGGTGTTAGCATTTTAAAGTTACTATAAATATTTTAAACAACGTTCAAAAACATCTTCGTGCATAGAAGTTATTTAATATGATTTTTATTTAGATGTGAATTATACATCTGTGTTAGATTTCAACAACACGAAACCAAGTATTCAATTTAGCGCCGAAGTCTCCATGGGCTTAGGATTCACTCACATTTCCAAAACAATAGTATCGGAGCCTTGGATGTACCAACAGAGCCTAATCAAGACCCAAGTCTCCTAAATTTTTTTTTTTAATACTAATATTATTTTTAACATTTTTTTAATAAATCGTAATTTTTTTTAAGAAAAAAATTGATTAGTTACTTTTTTATCTTTATTCTTTTACTAATTAATTTTAATTTTTATCTTCACTTCTCTCTATATCACTTTTTAGTTCTCATCTATTCATTCTTTTTACTTTTTAAACTATTCAGTTTGATTATTTGATACATATACATAACACATTAGTTAATGACTCAATATTTTCAATTTTTCATCGGAGTCATCTCTTATATGTTGTGTACTTGGGTTGGTTATTGGTGTACTGTTTGTGTGTATTTCGATTTCATTGATTTCAAGAGATAGAAGAAGGCAATGCAACTCAAGCAATAAACTATTTAATATTCACTACTGCAGAATGAGCATTCAACGTCGGGTGTAGAAGGCTTTCAACGTCGGTTCCAATGACGTCGTTGAATCAGGCGTCGTTGAATGTCAAAGGCTTCTACGTCGGTTCATCATACTCGACGTTGAAAGTGACTAAATTCTACGTCGGTTCTTGAATTAACCGACGTTGAACTCGCTCAAGCGACCGGTGTACTCGCTTGAGCGACGAAGCCTTCAAACAAAGGGGACTCTCGGGTGCTGCTTCGCTCAAGCGACCCACGTTTCGCTCAAGCGACCGGTGTAAATTCTACGTCGGTTATTGAACTAACCGACGTTGAAAGTCCTATCTCGCTCAAGCGACCGGTGTACTCGCTTGAACGACGAAGCCTTCAAACAAAGGGTGCTCGCGGGTGCTGTTTCGCTCAAGCGACGAACGTTTCGCTCAAGCGACTGACGTTACAACGTCGGTTAATGCAATAATCGACGTAGAATATCCCTTTTTTTTTAATATTTTGGTCTGTTTTTGTGCTACCATACACGACTCGCTATATAAATCTCAGTCCAACCAGATTTACACAATATATACACAATGTACAAAAATCTCAGCCGTGTCTTTTCACATAATCACTATATATTTACACAATACACAAAAATCTCAGTCCAAGCCACATTATGTACATAATACACAAAAATTATCAATCAATCCTATTATTCCTAACTACTTGTACAAACTTTTCGCCCATTTGTTTCGAACCATGTCTATAGTATCCATAGGCAAAGGTTCTATATCTTTAAATGCCTGTAAGAAGTTCACAATAATAGAATGGTAAACCCTAAGCAATAAAAATAAAGGAATTGAATATAATAGCAAATGTCAACTTACCTCGTCCCAACTATCCCGAATGCAACAAAAAATGATGAGCCACATCCAATACATTACATAGTAGCCGCACTCGTAGCCTCCATTTTGTTTGTTACATTAAAAATGAGTAAATATATTAAAAATAACTATTAAATTTGAACGTAAATTAATAGATAGTATAATATATATAAAGGCTACTTACTTTCATAAAATTCCAATTTGGAGTTGTGCTTTTACTTGTGTGTTTTCCATCTAATGTACTACAAACCTTTAAAGCACTATATATTGAAAATAAGGGGATTAGAAATAGAATAATCAAGATGTTTAGACATAATATAATAAATACTTACTCGTTGACAATATTTTTTAGCTCCATGTCCGGTTTTCTTCCCAATGAGCAGTAACCAACACACAAGATTCTCGCTTTGGACAAATAACTAATAGCTGCCAGTGGTTTCGTATATACACATGATTAGAATCTATTAAAAAAACTTGTGTAAAACCGGAAGAGGTCGGGATAACTTACGAATGATGGTATGCTCCAAGGTAAATATCTCTTTTAGAGACAAGTCATCCAATTCTGGATGTAATCGAGAATTTGACCACGCTTATTCCCGGACTTTTGTATGGATTGAGGCTCGAAGAATCCATACACGTGACCAATGCCCCGCTCCACTATCATTTCGTGCATCATCCTAAAATATGCCAATTTAAGTGAACTTATAGCTTATATATTTACTAAAATGAAAAGAGTCATGAAAGATATGAACTTACAATGTCCAAAATTGTAAAACAACTATATTTAGACATTGATTGCCCATCCCAATCTCCAGGGCATCGGTGTGGGAAATGTAGAGGGGGATATTGCTAGAAGCCATCCCAAATAATGTACAATCCCATGGAACTTGGAATGACTGCATATATAATTGTGGGGAAAGAGACAAGAGATCAAAAATGGGATTTGGAGAAGTCTCCACAACTGGTGTCTTCTCCTTAGATGCAGAAGGAGTGGCAATAGCTTTACCCAAGTCTTTTGGCTGCCGAACATCTTACATATTTTATAAAATATAATCATAAACAATAAATCAATTTATTTATGTGTTAGATGTATTATAACCATACATATACATACCTTTGCCATGATTGACCTAACTAAATGTCGGGGCCAACTAATGAAGGTCTGAAGGGCTTGGCCCACTGTCTGCACCTCTTCAGTGGGGATAGGGACACTAGCCGCAGCGTCAACCACCTTTTCAACCACTACTTTGACCAAGTTAGGATCCAAAGGCACATTGTGGATGGTTGAAGCCCCTTCATGAACTGATCCATGGGCCACTAGCCTTAGACCTTCATCTACCTCAACCCACAAGCCATATCGATCATCCTTTGTGGATTCGGGATGAATAGATGCCACCTCGAGTGTGACCTCGATAGTGG